GCTGAGGCGATGCTGCGGGAGAAGAAGAGCTTCGCCATCAGCATGTGAGTGAGTGCGGGGCCGGGGCAGCTTCTGCCGCAGCCCAACACGTATCCCTGCGGGCGTCCTTTGCTTTTGGTGCTCTTCATCTTGGGTGTGCTCACTAACAGTAAATTAATTACTCAGTTTTGTATGGGAATCCTGCAGCCTCTGCTGAGCTTTGGAGTGCCACAACTGGAGGGCTGCTGGTTCTACAGCTGGGTAACTCCCCAAAAGCACCAAAACTTTTGCTGGTACTGTGGAGCAGGATAAGTCCCTGTGCCAATATCATGAGGGAAGCAGAAGTTCAGGACATTTTTTCCCCCCTCCGCTGCATTTTTGTGGGATTATACACAATGCAAAGAAATATTTTCACTTCAACTTGGCAGCAAAATGTGTCAGTAAAGGATTGAGGTTCAGTCTGTTAGAAAAGGCTTCTTAATTAAATAACATGGCTGCACGGAGAAAATATGCCTGTGAGTTGCCTTGTGCTCTGATCCTCTTCCCATTATAAACAGCCTTGTCTAGCAGGTATCCTTTTGGCTGTCAGCAGCTGTGAGGAGGCTTAAGAAATCTGAAAAGACACAGAAAGAATCCCAGGGTCTCTCCAGTGCCTGTGTCTCTGGTAATTAGTGGGCTCCCTGTTAACTTGCTGTGTGGTGAGCTGCAGTGGTTGTGTGGCTGTGGTTAAGGACATCACCTTGCCAGGCTGTTTAACCAAACAGAACAAACATATTCTCTTCCAGTCACCTTGCTACGACCCTCCCCTTACCTTCAGAGAGGGATCACCTTCGGCCCAGGATAGATCTGATTGCATTCATGATTGATATCAAGAGCAAACACAGGTAAAAAGGGGGCAGAAATACAAGAGGGGGGAAGAACTGATGCTTTTTCTTGGATTAATGGCTAAATCAACGTTTTTTACTGTGTCAAAGTTGCTGAATAGTGGTTTTCAAATCCCAGCCTTGCTGTGGTGGAACAGCTCAGTAACAGACACAGTGTTTTTCCTGCCTCCAGCATGGATTAGGACTGAAACCACTCAGGTCAATAACATGCCTGTTGGGCACTAAGCTGCCAGAGCAGAGGAGGCAGAATTTATTCCTGGATCTGGGATGATGTGAACTGAGCTTTGAAAGACACTGTCTGTAAAATTGGATGGAAATGATGTGGGTGCTGTTAAGTTCTGTAGTGTGCCTTTGGCTGGTGTGTGCTGGGCAGTGCTCTCTAATAACCAGTCAGCTGCTGCATGTCCCCAGTTCACTGATCCTGGTCAAGTGGGATCAGCACTATGGATGCCTCTAGGCAAAAGAGGAGAGTCTGTAAGCATTGATCCCTTTCCTCCCATCTTTGTAGAAATTCTGTTTGTCCTCAGGCCACAAGTCAAGAATTGCTAAGGCACAAAAGTCAGCACATCATTACTTACCTTGTGACTGATGATCCTGGGCTCCCATTTACCAAATCTGACAGGCCCAGCTGCATGCTTGGAGCACAGATGGTGCTTCAGAAACGTGTGGGCTAGCTCTTCTGAAAGAGCTGAAGTAGCACTGAAGTTAGCTGGATGTTAATGAATTTGGATGCTTGGTGTCCACACATCATGGAGGACCCTGCAAATCATGGAAGACACCATTCAAACGAAGTCTAACTGTTGAGTCTTGGGTGGAAAGGATGTGTTATGGGTTATTAAACAGCTCTGGATATTACAGAACTCTCTGGTGCCATGCTTTTACCAGAGAGCACAGCTCTGCCATCTCACAGATCAGCAGATGTTAACATCATTCGTTTGCTAATTGTGCTTCTAACTCCCATTGTCCTTAGCCTGCACTGATCTTGCCTCCCTCTCCAACTGGGTTGTCTGCTTTTTTGGCAGCTTGAAGAATGTGGAAGCTTCCCTAGCTTATGTGGATGCCAGGTTCTTCCTGGGGAAAGTTTGCTTCCTTGTCACTGGGGGTACGTATGGCATCAGCCCTCTCCCTCCTCTCCACACAACATAACTCCCGGCTGCCTGCCTTAAAACACAGGAAATCAAAAGCTTTGTTTAAATTATACCTGAACTCATCTGCACTTTTTCTGTTGTTTTCTTAGCTAAAACACAGTTCTCTTCTCTCATACTCACTTGTTCTCTTTGTTTCTGCCAGTCAGACATCACTTCTCTGTATCTAATCCCTGAATATGATTTGTGTTATTTTTTTTTTCCCCCTGTGGCACTGCAGAAATCTGTTCTCTCTGCTCTTGAAGATCTGTCTTAATGAGCCCTGAGAAGCACATGATACTGTGGTAACAAGATGAATTGAAATGGATGAGCTATTAAACTATTAAGTATAGTTTTAATACAGGACTGGTGTATTGTCTGGCCCTGCTGTGCCTCTCATCTTCCTTTCACTCCCTCTCTCTCCCTGCCTCGAGTGGGGAGGCAGCTTTCCTGTGTATTCTTCCTACTCCAGCTAAGAGGGGCCAGGCCATAATACTTGGTGTTGGAACAGAGGTGGTGTGTCTGTGGAATTTGGGAGTTAGGGGACCTACTTCTGGGGTGGAACAGAGGTCATAGCATTGCCTTGGAGACGTGACCACCCTGTGATACCACATGAGCCAGCAGGGCTTCTGGTTAGTGAGAGGAAGGTTCTGTCCATGCCAACAGTCTACTATCCTTTATCCAAAATGTTAATGTTGCAGTACTCCATGTGCCAGCACTATTCCTGCTGTCAGGATTAGGAAAGACTTCTGTGCTAATTCCACTGTGCCTCCTGCACCATTCTGTTTGCACTGCTCACTGTTGCCTTACCTTCTGTGGTGCTCTCAAAATGAGCCCTGGATCATCTTGTGGAGGTGGAATTCCCTCCTACTTTTCTTCCCTGAATGTTGATGATGGGACTTGTAAGGTGAGGAAACTTTCTGTAGTTGGCAGGATGAATTACTGCAGTGTGGAGATGAGTGCTGTCTGGAAGCTGGGAGAAGACTACTGCAGCCCTGTGTTCTTCTGTGAGCTGGAGGTGAGGTGCTTCTTTGGTGTCTGAAGGGATTTGTGAATCCCACGGCTCTCTGATCCTGAGGAACATCATTATGTTAGCCATAAATATATGTGTGTACACTACTGTCCTGCCTCAGTGTCAGAGACCAAACCTTTACTGCAAGAACTGTAGAGGTACAGGAGTCTGACTGTCCTCAAAAGGCCTCTACTAGATTATCTGCTCCTTCTTGTGCAGCTTCAAAGCCTCAGGAAGCCAAGCCTAAAATTAACAAAGACTCCTCTGACAGGCAGAGCCTTGGTATGGTTGTTCCTTGAGGCATTTTCTTTTCCTTGGAACCCCTGAGCTGTTATTTGCTGTGTGGCTTGCTTGCCCATGTGATGCCTCCTGTTAGCCAGGCTCTGGTGCTTCACAGGCTGGTTTTGTTGTTGGTTGGGCA